ATCAATTTAGAAAAAAATGAAGAAAAGATATAGAAATAAAGAATAAAATAGAGAAATTAAAAGATGTCAAAATAATTCCAGTAGTAATCTCAATAAATTGAATAGTAAATAAAGAAAGTATTAAATTAATTAAAGAATTAAAAATTGAGATTGACATCGAAAAAGAAGTAAAAAACCTTGTAATTAAAAACATGATTGATGTCATGGAATACAACTTCTATCACAACCAAACATACTCCGTAGAGCTGCTAGAAGAAGAAGACTAAGTGATGGGATTAGTCTCCCCTGAGGCAGGAAGAATAGAAGCTATTTCTATTAATACTTAATTAATTGCTTTTTATTAAATAAATTATAAATTTTTTTATAATTCAATAAAATATGATTTTTTCTTAATTGGTTAATAAAATGTTTTTAACATTATTAGTAAAAAATTATAACACATTCTACTTTATTACTTTATTTTTTATTTACTTTTAAGCTAATGAAGATATTTAGCTGCATTTTAAGAGGTAATCAGCAAATGCCAATCACCGAGCAAGATGAAGCAAATTTCTATTGATAACATAAAATCCCTTTATAAAATTAAAAATTATAGAGGGTATATACTAAATGTTATCAAAAAATGGGTTTAGTATTTTTAAGAGATCCTTAAATATTATAATGTTTAATATTTTTATTAATTTCTTATAACTCTAAATTTAATTAGATGAGGTTTTAAGAGTTATATTTTTTGAAAGTATATTTATCCATCAAATCATAATACCACAATTTATTGTATTTTTTATAAATTTTTTATAATTTTCTTTAATAATATCTTTTCTTAGTCTTAAAGAAATTTAAATAAAAATATTAAAAAGAATAAAATTTATTTCAGAAAATAAATGAATTTTATCTATGTTGTAAGGGAAATAGAATAACTAATGTTAATGTATTAAATAAAATAACAAAGGCATTGTAATTATAGTGATTTATTTAATTTAATTGAAGTAATATAAATTTATTATTATTATTATTTTATATTATGTTATTGTATTTTATTGTTACCTTCTTTTTAATTTAATCAATAAAATAAAATGAATATAATCATTTATTCTTTATTTCTTATTCTTTATTTATATTGGTTTGTATGTTTATTTGGTTTAGTATATTAAAAAGTATTTGTTGATCAATTAGACTTTCATTTATTCTACTTCATGCTTGTGTATTATTTCATTTTGTTTTTAATGTATAGTTAATGGATGAAATTGTATTATGGTAATATTTCAATTATTTTCATATCATTTTGTTTATCCATTGTTATAATACAAGTATTTAGTGTTTAAAAGATGAAATAATTAATTAAGAAGTAACATTTGAATCTGTTGATTTTCATAATTATATTTATCATGTGATTTGGTTATTAATTCTCTTACTTTCCTTTTGTTCAATGTTTATTGAAATAAGAAGTGTCAAATTATTTGATAATTGTATCAATTAAATTACACATCAACATTTATTGATATTCAAATGTATTTTAATTATTCAATAATCAAAATGATGTGCATTTTGAAATGATGACTAATGAGATTGTATTTAATTAATTAAATTCATATGTTCATCTTTGTTTTTAATTGAATAAATAATATTAAATTAAGTGATTGAAAAGAGTATGTGTGTTATATTAATAAATATGAATAATGTGATAAATAAATATATTAAACATTGAAATGTCAATATTGCATTCAAAATTATTCATTGTTATTATTGTTTTTTTAATTATTATCATAACAATAATTAATTCATTTATTAATCATGTATTTATGTTTTTATTTAACATTACCTCATAAATATATTCAATGATATGAATATCATTCAATTAGAAATTGAATATGATAATAAATTATGACATTGACAGAGAAATAAACATTCAAATGTTATACAATGTATTACATATTCACAAACAAATAAAAATACTATCATCATATTAAATATATTTCATCATTATGTTTTTCGATGATAATTGTTCATTGTTCTATAATTCTATAATCAGACGAATATTTTTTATTGACCTTTATCATCATAGTCATTGAAATGTATTCAATTAACTTTAATATTATTTTATATTGAACAATAATAAAAATGATGATAAACAGTATTTATATTGATAATAACATTATAATTGATATTTATTCATTTAACATCATTTAATATTAATAATACAATATGAAAAATAAGAAGTTTTAATAAATGATAAATAAGTCATTTATTAATAATGTTAGTGTCATGTTTAATATTTAATAATTCGTTATTAATGACTTATTAATTGATCATTTAGAAATAACATATTTGATTATTAAATTCATTAAATACATTTTATTTCTTAATTTATTTTTCATTTACAATAATTCATTTGTCTTCTTCTTTTCTCTTTTAATATTTTTCAATGTATTTCAATGTATTATATGAAATATTAATAATAACTGATTCAATATTTAATTCGTTATATAATATATGTTTGATCATTATCTTAAATGACTATATTATTTTGTTTATTCATTACAATAATTAAATAATCAAATAAAATGAAATATTTCATTTCCATTCAAAATAACAAATAAAAAGAATAACAAGTTAACTGAATATAAAAAAAAACATTTAATTACAAGAATGATATTATATTTATTTTCAGACTATAACTCAACTTCTTTTCTTCATTTTTCTTTCCGTTTTGTGTTTATTTAATACCAGATTGTTAGTAAATTTTATTTTACTGAATTTATGAAGAATAAAAAAATTCATTAGTAAATTTACTAACTTGTTATAACACTTCATTTAATTTCCTTTATTTCTTATCAAAAGGTAATTAGTAATTAATAATTATAACGTTGAATATAAGATAAGATAGAATGAATAAATTCACTTCATCAATAACACACCAAAAAGATATATTTAAATTAGTAATAATAAAAAGACAGTAAGTCACAAGACAAATAATAAATGGTTGTAATAGTTCTTATATTGTATCGTCTTATTTGATTGTTTTAACGTGTCATTAAAATAAATAATGCATTATTAAGTATGTTATTGTTTATTAGGTATTGTTGTATATAGAGACATACAGAATAACTTAGTGTTTTCCTATTACAAAGCTAATCAAATAAATAACTCACACTATAGAAGGAGTAGCTTTTCTCCTAATTTAAGTATTTACTTAAAAAGGAGATTACTTAAATTTAATAATAGTATAACTGCTTTTTACAGTTAGCACATTATTTGTTTTGGAAAAAAAAACAATACCACAGATAACTTTTGTTGAATATTCATTATGATGCTATAATACAAGGATTACTGTGAGTTTATTTTGTAACCACGAAAAGATGAAAGGAAAAATCCTTAATGAATTTTTTTTTGAGTTTTCATTAGTCTGTTTCACTAATTTTTCTCCAATACTTTTCCTAATTACAAACAATAACTTAAAAGATTGAAATTGGTTAAGTTATGAAGAAAGTACAATACGACCCTTTTGGAGATGATTATAACACTACTACAGAATATTCCGATGACGTCTTCAGTAGTCTATCATCAACACCATCGATGTCTCCTGTTCTTTCTGATATAGATTCATTTTGTGATCAATTAACAAATAAACCTCTGACGCCAAACCAAGAAGAAGTATTTTCTCCCAAAACAATTCCAAGAAATACCAGTGAGACTAATGACTTTAACATACTAGAAACCCAAGGAAAAATTGTTAGTTCGTTATCTCCTCGTTTAGACCCATCACATAATTCTCATAGTCCTCGAATGAAAAAAGAACGTAGTTGGAGAACAGCACAAATATTTCAGAAAGAAAAAGTGTTGAATGTTGTTGGTTCATTAGAAGGATTTAATATAGAAGATGACCATATCCCTTTTGCTGAAGTACCTCCAAAAAAAATGTGTCTAACCACAGCAGCTCAAAGTCAAGTTTCTTTAATTAGTACAAGTGCTTCTACTACTCTCTCTTCTTCAACACAAAGTTGTGACGAAGAGACTAAAAAGAAGACTCAAAGAGATAAAATTAGTCATGAAAGTTGTAAAGAAATAATTTGTGCTAAACCACCTCCTAAATCAAGTCCAAGTGATATAATAAACCAAAGTCTACAAAGAGAGAAAGATAGAAGTATCAAAAGCAAATCTGAACCTTATGAAGAGACAAGTGATGAACATCAACAAATAAATGAGCAAAGTTTAATTGAAAATAGTAATACAGACTTATCTATTGACACAAGCACGATAAGCTCAAGTGATTCATTAACTTTAATGTTTGATAAGCCAACGAAAAGTTATAGAGAAAGAATATTAGATGAATTTGTAAGTTCAGAATATACTTATGTAATAGGATTAAAGATATGTTCAAAATTTTTTGAAGAGCCATTGTCTAAACAACAAAAGTACTGTCCACCAAATTTATTTTCTATTGTGTTTAAGGGATTTGACGATGTTTATAGAATAAATTCTAATCTTCTTCAAGAATTAAATAATTTAAAGAATCATGTTGATGGAAAGTCATTAGACACTCATCTTGGTGAAGCATTTAGTCAATTTATACCTTTATTAAATGTGTATAAAACGTATGTAGGTAATACTGAAGCACAATTTGCAGCATTAGATAGATTAGAGTCAAAAAGTTCATTTAAGAAACTTTGTTTTAACTTACAGTCAAAGATTAGTGTTGGTCATGCATTAAACTTACGGTCATATCTTATTACACCAGTACAAAGACTTCCACGATATAAACTATTATTAGAAGATCTTATTAGAAATACACCAGAAGGACATTGCGACTTAGCTCGATTAAAAAATGCATTAGATAAAGTAATGTCTATTAACCTTAATGTAAATCATTCAGTAGATATCCAATCAAGACAACAAAAGTTAATTGAATTATCTAAAAAAATAAAAGGAATAGATGACTTAATTCAGCCAAATAGGTATTATATTTGTGATGGAGAACTTACAAGGATTAACCAAAAAGGAAAAAAAATTAAACATTTTTATTTATTTAATGATAGACTTATTAGTGGAAAACCTGGAAATGAAGTTATTGTTTCATTTGATGAAAAAATAGTAAACATTATGATTCAAGATGACTCTGATATATCATTTAATATTCTTTCACCAAATAAATCATTTGAAATACTTTGTACTAATGAAGAAGAAAAAAGAGATTGGTTTGAGAAAATTATTGATGCAATTAACACCGAAAACCAATTAGTTCCTGTACAACACTCTAAAAAAGCCATTGAATACGCACCTTTATGGTTACCTCAGTCTATCCAAAAATGTCAATTATGTGGTAAAGCTTTTAGTTTAATCAATAGAAAACAGTTTTGTATACATTGTGGATTATGTGTTTGTAATGGGTGTTATAGAGGAAGGTTTATATTTAATGGAGTTAATAAAAGGGGATGTGATAGGTGTATGAAAAAAGCTTTAGCAATGAATAAAATTATTATTGATGATGATATTTCTAAAAGAAAAACAATTCGTATGAAATCAAGTAAAGAGGATGAGATTGTTCTTCGGCTTGAGGGTGTAAATCTAACAAGAGTAAGGTCAAATGCTAATGTTGCACCTATTCGTCCATTATTAATAAAGAAACCTATAAATGAAAATGAAGCAAAGAAAGACTGATGAAAAGAAAAAATGAAAAGAATATATCTCAATAAAAAAGTCCTAAGAAAGATGTTACTTTGCTTTGTCATAAAGACTGTTGTTTCATACAAAATTTAACAATAAACATTTTAGTAAATATTAATAAACTTATTAAAAATTTTTATTTTTTTTTAACAATAACTAAAATAACAAAAAATAGAACTAAAAAATAAAAACAAGTTAAATAATATGCCGAAAAAGATAATCAAAAAAACAATCAAACTTACTGATGATGATGAGTATGAAAAGAAAGTAGAAGAACCTTCAACACCTCCAAATCAAAATGTAAAAAGAAATACAAAAGTTCAACAAAAAGAAGAAAAAGCAGAAAATTCACCTTTACAAGGATTAAAATTAGAAGGGGAATTTCTTATCTTTACAAAAAGACAATTTAAAAGAACCAGAGATGGAAAAGAAAAAATTGTTAATAATGAGTTGAATGAAAGGAATGTTCCTGTAAAGAAATGTAAAAAGAAAAAAATAACAAAAACAATTAGTTTTGAAGAAGAAAGTGATGACCCAGAATTTATTATATCTTCAGAATTACACAACTCACAAAATGAATCACAAAGAGATTTAAATCAATTAAATAAACAAAAACTAAACAATAAAATATATCAAGTGAAATACACAAATGAAGAAGAACCAATAGTATTTACTCAACGCTCATTTAAAAGAAATAGAATGAATGGAGAAGAAAAGAAGCAAATTAATGTTATTAACCAAGAACCTAAACGTGTTAAAAAAACAAAAGTTATTAAAAAAACTAGTTCTGAAAATGAAGAGTTTGTTGGAGGTCATACAATTATTACACAACAACCCAAACTAGAAAACGTTCTTAATTCTATGGTTTTGTCTAGTTTTATTCATAACCATGCTACAAAGTTTTCTAAGAAAGGAAGAACAATTGCTCAAAAAATTGCTTTTAATGAAATGGAAATAGATGTCTTTAAATCTGGAAATTTATTAACTAATTCATTAGAAAATGGATTAAATAAAAGGGAAGTTGAAGTTATTTGTCAAAGAATGTTTAAAAGAGATAGAAAAACTGGTGAATTAAAAACAAAAATACAACAAAAGACTGAAAATAAAGGAATTAAAAAAATAATAAAGAAAAAAGTTGTCAAAACAATAAAACAAGATGATTTAAGTGATAACAACTCTTTAGAAGAAATAAAAAATGAAAATCATAATTTATATGAAAGAAAAGTAATCAGAGAAAAACCAGGAAAAACAACAATGATGATAGTTGATAAAGAACTATATACAAAAGATGAACAACCTATAACTATGGCTCATTGTTTCAGAAGAAATAGAGAAAATCCAGAAGTTGAAATGAAATTTAAGTATGGAATAATTCAAAAAGAATTAACTAATGAAGAGAAAGGAAAAGTTTGTAAGAAAAAAGTGATTAAGAAAAGTATTAGTTTTGAAGATAGTGATGAGGAAAAAGAACAAACAAAAACAATTAAAAAGAAGATCATAAAAAAGACACTTCATTTTAATGATGATGAAGATTCAGAAATCAAAACAAAAAAGATAAACACTCAGAAGAAAAAAGTGATCAAAAAGACATTAAACTTTAATGATGATCACGAAATAAAAGAAAGTCCATTGTTTCATAAAAAAAAAGTCATAAAAAAGACAATATCCTTGAATGATGATGAACAACCAAAAAAAGAAACTACTAAGTCTTCAGTCCAAAAAAAGAAAATAATAAAAAAAACAAAGAGTTTAGACGATGATGATAATAATGTCATTAAAGAAGTTGTACAGAAAAGTATTCCATTAAAAAAAGATATTACTTATAAAGAAGCAAGTAAGAGAGATTTTGTGGTTGGAGAAGTTACAAAAGAAGAATTAACTTCTGAAAATAATTCAAAGAATGATGAATTATCTAAATGTAAGAAAGACACTAATCAAAAATTAACAACTAATGAAACAAAAGAAACAACCGTTAATAACTCTTCAAATACGTTGAAAAGAAGTAAAAAAGTAACCAAAAAATTAAATAAAAAGAGTTCAAAAAAAATTAATGTTTCATTTGTACGATTTGAAATGGACTTTGATAATTACAATGATGAAAGCTGGTTATCTGATTGTGAAAATTTTTCTAATGAGTAACTTCTAATAAAAAGTTATTTTTATGTTATATTAATTTTTGTTACTAATTTTTTAATAAGAGATTAATAAATATAAAAAAAAAATAAGTATATTCGTATTAAAGTATCTAAAAAAAGGAAATGTATGATTGAAAAATAGAAACGGAGTTTGAAAGAATCAAAAGAAAAGTCGAAATAACAAACTAAAAATTATCAAAAAGGTTTTGGAATGGAGGAGTTTGTAAGTGATGAATTTATTTTTTATAGACGATGAAAAGACAAGAAGAAAAGAAGAAGTATTAATTTTTAGAGAAGAATGGCATACAGTAGGGAAAGAAAAGAAACCAAAAAAGGTAAAAACTAAGGCAGTAAAACAAAATAAAGAAAATAAGAAAAAAGAAAAAAAAGTGTCAGAGAAGGAAAAACAAGGGATTATAAAAAGAGAAGTTATCCCTTTACCTCATGACCAGAACCATTCATATTCTACTCCTGCTATTGTTGGTTCACCATCTGTTGAATATACGAAAGAAGAGTTAGAAAAAATCTTGGCTGAATTAGGAGATGGTTCAAATTATCTTCCACCACCATTAATAAAAGAAAAGAATAGAATAGAAATGTTATTAGAAAGAGTTAAAAGGAAAGAACAACAAAAAATGAATCAAAAGGAAATTTCATTTCCATCAGCCACAACAATAGAAACTCATAATAATACTATTCAACAACCCATAAAATTAACTCCAAAGGGTAATGTGAATGTAATAATATTTTTAATAATAATTCTTATTATTGCTATAGTAATATTAGCATTATACATTTACTCATTTAATTAATTAATTATATTTTTTATTTTCTACTATTTTAAAAAATAAAATAATACATTTTCAAATTAATGTTATTTTTTTTAATAAGAAGATGAAAAATAATGAAATATATATTATATTTTAGTTTAATCAATAGAAGATTTTTAAATTTTAAGTTAGAAAGAAATATAGTAAAAATATATGATTTAAATTAAATTATAATAAATCAAATAAGTAAATCCACTAACATAACTCAAAAAAATAGAAAAGGATGTCAGCAGCAAAGTTTATCCAAAGTAATTATAAGTCAATTATCAAAGACCCATTAGAAGGTATTTATGTTGAATATGCCTCAGAAGATAATATATTTGAATGGAATATTTGGATGGAAGGACCAACACAAACACCATATGAAGGAGGTGTATTTAATTTAAGAATGTTCTTCCCTGATGATTTTCCTTCTAACCCACCAAAATTAGTGTTTAAAAGTGAGTTTTGGCATCCAAATGTATATCCAGATGGTAAAGTTTGTATTAGTATTCTTCACCCACCAGGAGAAGATGAAATGTCTGGTGAATTAGCTTCAGAGCGATGGTTACCAACACAAAGTGTTAGTAGTATTTTGTTAAGTGTTCAGTCAATGTTGTGTGATCCAAATATGTATTCTCCAGCAAACACAGATGCTATGGTTCAATGCAGAGATCATAATAAAGAATATTTAAAACGATGTAAAGAAGTAAGTTTAAAAGGACGTGCTTCACTTCCATCATTCATTAAAATACCACACCCTGACACAGACCGTATTGAACATCAAAAACAAATAGAGAAAGCAAGGGGGTATGATTTAAAATGTTCAATGGATATTGATATGTTTGATGATGTTGGAGATGGTGAAGAAATTATCTATGATGATGACGATGAAATAAATTAAGTCTATTTCACCATTGCTCTTTTTATTCCTTTTAGTAATTCATTTTTTAAAGTTAATCAGAGGTTTTTTAAATATAAATAACAATAATTAAGTATAAAAGGAAGAATTAATTATTCTATCTTTTTATAATAATTTATTACGACTAAATAAATGTTGTAAGAAATCATTAAGACAATAAATGAAATGCAAATAGGTAAAAACTCAATAGAGGGAAGTAATTCAAAATGATAAGCGACTAGAGAGTGTTCAGTAATAAATAAAATGTCAGTTTTCATATCATTTGTTAAATCACCAAATATTGGTGGCATAATTGGTTTCATTTTTGTTTTTAAATTTTCTGAACCAATTAGATTTCCATTTAAGTCTAATATACAAATTTCATTATCTCCTTGAATATAAATAAAAGAAGAGGTTTGATTTTTATATGAATATTGGAATAAATGAAAACTTGGTTTAAAAGTAATTAAATCTACTTGGTTTAATTCCCAATTAACTGGTAACATTTTATTCCATAACAATGTTCCATCATTATGAAGTGCAGTTAATAATCCATTATTACTTAATGTATAAATATCGTATGTTGGTCTACCATCGTGTGCTTTACCATTATTTGGAATTAATAAAGGAGGTAATACTTGAAAGAATTGTTTTTCTGTATTTGATTGTTTTCTAAATAAATTAAATCTTTGTTGTTGTTCGCACAAGTTAAATAAAAATAAGTCATCATTAGTATTTACTACTGTGGCATGAACGTAACATGAATAATCATCTCCTGTTTGTTCTAATTCACTATATTGTAAATTGGCATGAGTATATACTTCGTTTAGTTCATCATCTCCATCAATGTCTGCAAATGATGATGCAGCAGATATAGTTGAAGTTAATAACGTGACATGAAGTAATGGTTTTCCAGTAAAAAGATGGATAACTTCAATTCCATTCATATGATGTACAACAAGAACATTAGGATTCTTAATAAGATCAAAATGATTAAAGCTGTTATAAATTGAATGTTTAGGATGAATATATTCTGTTGGGTTATTAATAATATCTCTACTAAAATGTGCAGGAACAATATGAGTATCATAATATGAAGACCATGTATGAGGTAAATTCTGGAATATACAATCATGGAATTCATGCCACTGAATAGTATCGAAGTCATGTAATATACTTTTACCCATTTTTAGGTTCTTATATACTTCTAAATTATCTTCTTGGTGAACTAGTTGTAAATCATTTTGGTCTTCATCATCTCGTTCATGTTGCCAAATGACTTGTCCATCTTTTATACTAAAAGCATAATAATTCATATGTTCAATTAGCTCAGGAACAAATCCACCATCATCCATACTATTTTCATTTTGTTCAATTATTGGTTTATTGAAATCATTTCTTTCATCCCACTCAAATGCTGTATCAGCTCTATTTCCAACAAATGCTTTATCATTTGATGTTCTAAATGCTGTAATAACCGCTCCTTGGTATTTTGTTTGTATTTGATATGGTATAACAACTCCACTTACTTCTTGAACATATGGTTGTGCAAGAGAAGAGTAAATTTGTTGTTTCCATCGTAATTTTAAGTCAGAAGTATAACACCTAACTTCAAAATTTCTTAAAACAACAATGATTACTTGTTCCCTTCGTAGATTTTCTTTGTACTCTTTTTCATAGCCACTTGTCAAATAAATTACATTAGTAGTATTAGGAATAGAGGTTTCTTTCTTTAAAGTTAATTTCCCTTGATTAAATGAATATATAGAAATCTTTTGTGACATAAACGGAGCAACAACAAGATCATTTTTTCCATCACCATCAATGTCTGTTATTAAAGGAACAGCATTTAATTCAGATTGCCAATTCCCTTGATAAGGATGTTCAAATAATAATTCTAAAGATGAAATTGATTGGGTTTTAGTTAAAAAATACCATCCAACAAAGCAAAGAATGAGTATGATCCATTTTATTGTGTTCATCTCTTTCTTCTTTAAAAAGTTAAAGTTCAACAAATAGTAAATTAATAGTAAAGGTATTAATATTTTAATGGTAAAAAGTACAAAACGAAGTTATTGACATCTCTCTTTTTGTTTTGGTTGTTCAATAGGAATTGATAATTCAATTGGACGATTTAATGCAAGTTCTACCATACTTGATAATAGCTCATCTATGCCTGTATGTAATTTTGCTGAAGTAATAAAATAAGGGTAATGTTCTTTTGTAGAGAAATTAATAAGGTCTTTCTTTATATTTGGTATTTCAATATCAGCTTTACATAAAATAAGAATAATTGGAATAGTAGAACTAGGATTATCACGTTCAATAAAAGTTAACCAGTCATTAATCTTTTTAGGTTCAAAAGGAATACTAGAATCTATAACCAAACCAATTAAATCAGCTCCACGATAATATGGAGTTGGTCCAAAAAAAGATATTTGTCTAGGAGTATCCCAAAACGTAATTTTTAAAACTTTATTTCCTTTTTTTACTGCTAAACTTTTAAAGTCAATTAATTGAGATGGGTTATTTTCTTCATAATTTGATCCAACCAATGCATTAATTAAATTACTTTTTCCACATCCATCAGAACCAAAAAAAACAAATTTTAATTGTTTTTCTTCTGAGATAATGTTATTGGCTTTCTCTGTTGTCATTAAATTCTTTTTTAAGTTCTTTTTATCTTGAAACAATTTTAATTTTATGTTTTATTTAACATTAATTTAAATTATTTTGTTATAAGAAATTAAAATAAAAGAAAATGATTCAATTATAACATCAGTTTAACACATGCACGGGCTTCTTCTTCTGTATTAGAAGTCATTACACATTCCCGAGTTTTATAAGAAGGATCAAAAAATCCATTTACTAACGAAGTATATTTAAGGTAATTAAGTTCAGAATTAATTAACGAAGAATATACTTTTTTAATAGAAGAAGGAGAAGCGTCTGATGTATGATACAATTGAGTAAATTGCATTGGATTTGTCCAAACACCTTTTAATTCTAAATTTGATTGAATAAATTGCATATAAAAGTCTTTATAATCTTTAAGAATACCATTGACAGTATCATAAGTATATACTCTATAACCTGGTGTATTTCCAAATATTGGAGAAATAGCAGGTGCTGTTAAAATTGGAATGTCATCAATTATTTTGATTTCAGAACGATGGTCATGTCCAAATACATATCCAACAATAATGTTTTGATACTTTTTAAAAGTTGTTATTAATACATTTTGAATTGATTGAACTAAATAATTTTTACAATCATATGCTGCAACACCAAGTGGGAAATGTCCAACAACTAATACATTATTTCCTTTAGCCTGTGCAATTTCTAAAGATTTTTCAATATATTTAATAGAGCCACAATCATCTCCAGTAAGTTTAGGTCCATATAATAATGTATTAATAGAAAGAACAGATAATGAGAATTGATTAAAATGTTTTATATAACTACCATGTTTAATAAACTCTTCTTTTTCTGAAGCTGGTATTTGTGATTTAAAGAGAGTATAATATTGTTCATACCTTGGATCATTACATTTTGTTATATATGATGGACTAATATCATTATTTCCAAGTGAAAATACTATTGGAACACCATCAAATCTATTAGAAACTAGTTGTAATACTCCTCTAATAGCATCAGAATTATTAACTCCTTGATAATGACCAGCAAGATCACCACTTAAAAGAATAATACCAGGATATGGAGCTGTACGATAACTTTGTTGTATTGCTTCCTTTACTAGATTTTTATTTGAATCACAAAAATATATTCCATAATATGGATTCACTGGTTTTGGTACTTTTTTATATACTAACTTAACTCTTTCATCCATTTTATATCCTTCTCCTCTACATAATGTAGTTTCATTATATTTACTTGGATCCATTAACATATCATAATGAATATCTGTCAATTGAATAATTTCTATTGATTGACAATAATAAATAAGAATCGATAGTATCACTAAGATCATTTATATTAATTCTTTTGAAGTTCCTTTGGTTCATTTTTTAGTTTGTTTTTGTTAATAATGGTTTTATTTGTTATATATATCATATATTTGGTAATTAGACTCTATTTTTACTTATGATGTTTTTTTCGTTAATATTATTTTATCAATTTTCTTATTTATGAATATTTTATTTATAGAACGTTATTAACTTTTTATTTTATTTTATTGTTTCGTTTTGTTTGTTTCATCACAAAATAATGAATGAGAAAAATAGATATTTATGAAGATTATTTCAAGATTCTTATTTTATTCTTAATAGAACATGAAACTTTACATTATAATAAATGTAATTTTATTTTAAATAGTTTTATTGGATGATCTACTCATTATGTTAATGAAAATTTTAATATAACAATATTTTTTATAAAAACAAATTAATTCTCATTAATATTCAATTAAATATTATTCTAAATTAAAGTTTTTTTTTGATTGTTATGATTGTTTTGTTTCATTTAAATATCATAATTTTATTTAATTAGATGGATTTGTTTTTTAATAAGATTATATCTCATTTATCAGATGAACATTATTTTATTAAATCAAATAAGATAGAGATATAAAACTTTCGTTTTGATAGAGGAAGTCTATAAAATGTCATAGAAGTTCAAAAATTAAAGAAAAATGAATTTTTATAAATTTTTTAGAAATTAAACCAAAAAACAAATAACAAAAATAATGAATTAAAATTGTATATTTCGATATTATTTATGAATTATGAATGTCATGTTGGTTTTCACGTTTTCCACAATTTATACGATGAAAGTTGATTAACACAGGCACCCTCACACGTTAATAAATCGTTTTTATTATATTATGTTATTTACAAATGTAATATAATCAATGAGTTATAATTCGTAAATAAACATTTAATGAACATTTTTTTTTGTTCAGTTCTTTAAATAATGCAATTTTGAAAAATATCATTTTTTGTCATTTTTATTTTTGTAGAATATTTTAGTTTCAAATGTTATTTGATAGTAAATTTGGTAGTGATGAGGTTTTTTAATGGTTTTTTAAATAGTTTCATTC